TGTAGTACGTGATGTTTTCTCAGGCGTCCGTCTTGCATACCCTGTGAGTAGGCGAGACACACAAGCGCATGTTAAAAAAATCCGTCAGTTCATGGGCCTTCGGGCCACTGATTCGCCGCCAGCATGTCTAATAAAAATGGATGCAGCAGGAGAGCTCGAAGGAGCGGCCCATGAAGTCGGTCTCATCCCAGAGACAAGCTTGCCTAACAGGTGGCCCCACAATACCATCCTGGAGCGCGACATCCGTGAAGAGAAGGAATGCTGTCGCAGCATTCACTTGCAATCAGGGTTGCCCTATTCGTTTAGCTACCCATTTGCATGCCTCACCATGTCGTTCGATAGGCCTGCTCCATTCAGCCCCGGTAAAACCCAATGGGAAGCTCTCACAAAGGAAAAGTTCCAAGGGAAGAGATGCTGTTTCGGGCAAGTGGTTTGGTACAGAACCAAGACTCCTGGTAAGCGCACTCTCGATCCGAACATGGCGCCAGCGCTCTTTTTGGGTTGGAGGGTCGATCCGGGGTTGCGGTACCGTAACGTGGTCAAAGTCATGGACTATGAAGCCTTCCGTAAAGATGGTTCCATTTCTGTTCACGATGTTCCTGAACCGGAATTGTTCGTTGAGGACGGACCGCCAAGCTTCCCGATCGCAGCAGCAGCAGATAGAGCGTTGCGTGGAGGCAAGACAGAAGGGTCAGATTCCCCACCTTTGCCCCTGCGAGAGGCACCCTTTGGGGCCCTGCTGTCAAATCAAAATCCGTGTGCATAACTGTTGAGAGGATCATCAAGTTCAAGGAAACGCCAGGTTGTCGTGCATGCACCGGTCATTCCAAGATTCACAGTGCTGAATGCAAGAAGAGGTTCTCTGAACTTGTTTCTGCAGATAGGGCTGAAGCAGCTGCAAAAAGCGCTGCCAAAAGTGAGTCTAAGGAACCCATTCCCATTGTTCATGCCGAAGGGGATGAGGAGCTAGCCAGAGCAATCCACGCATCCGAGCATGATAAAGATCCTAAGATTGCAGTTAGTGCAGAAGACGTAGCGCATGAATTTGATGCAGCCGAAGCCGGGGAGCCCGCTCCCTCAAGACCCGGTGCCTCATTTTTCGATTCCGCGCCAGCGACAGCCGCTACATCGCAAGGTGAAGATTTTTGGGTGTTCAAAGAAAATGCCAACTGTTTGGTACGGTGCCATATCATGCCAAGGCAGAATCTTTTACCCCAAAGGAGGTGGAGGATTGCCCCGTTTTCCCAGGAAGGTTCACTGCAGCTCGCACCACTCGTGCCGTGTTTCAAGGGGGCAAAGCAGACAACATCCACGATGGTTGGTTTGGTAGCCGACCTAATCGCTCACTTGGAGATCCATGGACCGGGTTCACAGTGTTCAAGTTAAAACCCATTCAGTCCGATTGCGTTATCACCACAGGTGCAGCCGTGATGTTGGAGTCCGTGCCGCCGACACCTCTCACCGAAGCGTCAAAGAACGGTCGTCCAGATACATTGCCAATTTTTGGCATGCCGTGCAGCGCAGAGGTTGAAGCCCCGCCGCCCAAACAATTTGTGGTAGGAAATCATCGTGCCCGCTAACGTCAGGCACGCATGGATAAGTTGCCTGTGATGTTTGAATACGCATGTTCACCAGAGTCCAATATGGGTCGCGTGTTTGAAGGTCTTGGCGTACCACATGTTAGGCTGGCTAAAGAGTTCATCGACCTTAGCACAGATGAAGGAGAAATCCAATTGCAGTCTCAGATAGAAGGTTGTGATAAACCCAATCTCTGGGCCGCAATTCCCTGCACATCCGGATCAGCATGGCAACGTCTTAACAAGGCCAAGTTAGGAAGCCAATTCAAAAAGAAACTGAAACAAAAGGTTAGAGAGTCGAGAGAGTTGTTCTCCAGATTCAGACGTCACGCTGAGACAGTCCTCCATCAGGGGGGTAGTGTTTCGTTTGAATGGCCAAGGGATTGCGACAGCTGGGCCAGGGATGATGTTGCTGCATTCTTTAGGGAATACGCACAGGTCTTCACCCCAGCGACCTTTCACGGTTGCGTTCTAGGTCTAAAGGACAGCAACGGTTGCCCCATCAAAAAGCCATGGAAGGTCATGACCAGCAATAGCACCCTCGCATCCGCACTAAGTGCATTCAAGTGTCCGCACGAAAAAGGGTTTAACCACTCGCTTACAACAAACAACAAGACCGCAAAGACCGCTTTCTACCCCGAAGGCATGTGTCTCACAGTTGCCCGCGCGCTGTATCCGACAGTAGGACCCGTTGTGCCTGCGATGCCTGTCCAAGTGCCATTGCCTCTCGACCACCGGGAACGTGAACAGCAGCTAAAACACATATCCCCTCTCTCTGGTTTGGAAGATATAGGTATTGCTGTCGAGTCCGATGAAAAGTGTCACGACATCCTCGAACAAGTTCTTGATGTTGAAAATCTCATCGCACATTCCCTAGGACAAGTCAAGGAGGAGAAGGATCCTGAAATCACCGCAATGGTGACCAGACTCTTGTCACGTGCCGAAATGTTGGCTTCCCCGGAAGCCCTTGAAGCCGTTCGACTTGAAGCCACAGGCCTGGAGAAGGCCGGTGTTTGGGATCTAAATTCAGTCCGAGAGTACGATCAAGTCGCTGCTGAGGCGCGACGATCCATTGTAAAAGTTCACTTCGGACAGTTGATGTCGTTAGCATCCGTCAAGTTCGCCGAACTCGCGAAGCACCTTCAAAAGATGAAAGGTAGGATAGTGTATCGCGGAGACTGTGCGAAAGACGAACACGGTGCAGCGGCTGTATACCAAGAACTGGGAGCAAATCCCACGAGCGTACAAGGTCTTAATAACTGTCTCGCTTACGGATCCCTGCCAGGGAATTCCACCACAACAGCGGACGCTATAAAGGCTTACGTACAAGCACTGCTGAAATCCAAGTACCAAACTTGGATCACACTCCCGCCTGAGCTCCGGCCAAGGTGGTGGCGCGAGCGTTTCGTGAAACCTGTGGTTTTGCTCGTTAAAGCTCTTTATGGGCATCCTGACGCTGGCGGACTCTGGGAGGCACACCTCAAAGGTTTCATTAGTGAACTTGGAGGGCGTGAAGTTGCAGAGTTTCCTGGAAACTTCTGGTTCAAGGAGTCCGGGTTACTTCTCTCGACATACGTCGATGACTTGACGTTGGCCGGCCCCAGCCACCTTCATAAAGACTTTTGGGAAAAGTTAACAAGACTGGTAGACATAGAACCCCCAGAAGACATATATCGGGTGCTAGGCAGGAATCACCTTTTGATAAATGCTCCGAAGGACCCTCTTAATGCCGCAATGGGCAGATTGAAAGGGGGCATGGCGTTCGACACGCGAGATTATGCTCGACAAACGGTTGCGTTATATCTTGCGGTTGCGCAGCTAAAAACTGAAAAGTTGCGTGATGCCACCACTCCATTCTGTCCCGCTGGATCTCTAGACCCTGCAGATGACGCCTTAGAGGGTGAGCTCGGCTTCGCCGCTTGCCGCGTGTTGATGAAGGCTTTGTGGCTGGGGCGTTTGGCACGCCCGGACCTGGTCAAGCCGATTGGTGACCTTGCTTCCTTTGTTCAGAAATGGTCTAGGAACTGCGATAAGCAGTTACACAGGCTTGTCTGCTACATTAACAGCACGGTGAACAGCACCCTAGTTGGCACAGTTCAGGATTCGACTGATGAGTTGCATCTGTCTCTCTATGTGGACGCAGATTTCGCTGGAGAACGAGACGCAAAATCAACGTCCGGAGGCTTCTTGGTTTTGAGTGGTCCACATACGCACTTTCCCCTCGCGTGGGTGTCGAAAAGGCAGACCTCGGTCTCCCGATCGACGACCGAGGCGGAAATAGTGTCTCTTGCGTACTCCCTGTACCAGGAGGCACTACCTGCGCTCAGCTTATGGGAGCTGATCTTGGACAGGCCGTTCCATCTCAAGATCCATGAGGATAATCAGGCGACCATCCTTGTAGCAAAGAAGGGTTTCTCATCCAAACTACGCTGTGTACAACGCACGCACAAGGTGAACCTCGCTTGCGTCGCAGAGCAGCTTGAAAGCGAACACATCTCAATAGAATATGTCCAAGCAGACATGCAATCAGCAGACATTTTCACTAAAGCACTTCCTCCCAACAAGTGGGACCATGCCATCAGGTTGCTCGGCATTCGTGTTGACCTTCCAGAGAAGCTTGAAGATGTGCGTGAAAGTAGATCCGCTAAAGCAGCTGCCTAGTGCGCTGCAGCATGTCCACAAAATTTCCAAAAGTGTGCAAGTGACTGGGCGGTGCTTGAATAACTTGCGTCAGTCGTTGTGATGTAAACTTGACTTCAAGTTGGCGTGGTAATGCGCCCAAGACACTCCCTCAGTGCCGCCAATGAGGGGGGAGTCAATTATCACGATGACATTTAAGGCCCAGAGGTGCACCAAGTTGCAAGACTGGACAACATGTCCGCATGTTGTCATTTGGCTCAAGGCTCAAGGAAAAGAGCGCGTTGCACGCGCTGCCCACAAGTTAAGGGAGAGGTCGCAGTCACGGCGGGGTTCGTTCCTTTTAAGGTCCCGGGTTCCTTCGTTGTTGAGAAAACTGTGTTTCCCTCTCCTTTGAGTTTTTCGTCCCAGTTATAGGGTTTGGGCTGGCAGCGACATGAATCATCGGGTGTGGAAGGAGCCTCTCAAGCAGTTGATGCCTTGACTGCGGATGAAACCTCGGCGGGCGCCAAGAAAGCAGCACATGCATTCGTCCCTCTTCAACAGACTCAAAGGACTCAGAGCATGCCACAATCCTGTGCCAGGGTTTATCCGCAACCAGCAGATGTAGATTTGGCATAGGGTTGCCTTGTCATATTGCTGGCAATCCCCTCTATCTGGAGAGGGCACCATTTTTTCAGCGGCCAGACAATTTCTCGTTGTCAATCATTCAAGGTTCAATCTTTTGCACTGCCATTCTTTTTGGAGTTCTTTTGAGGGTGCGCTTGTACATGTCGCTTTGCTCAGTTGTCATTGGGAGGCTCAAGGCTATGCCGGATGGGTTGTTTGCTTCAATACAGGTGGCGCACTGGCCATTTGCCAAGAACTGGCAGCACCTCGCGCAGGACCCAAGGCATGTCTTTCTGGAGGTTGGCGCCAACAACCACGAACTGGAGCGTGATGAGCTGGATTTGCTGCTGCAGGACCTGCCTGGTGGATTCCTCATAAGCTTCGAGCCCCTCTTGGACAAGTATGGGTGCCTCTGCAAGAGCTGCGGTGTTTGGCTCTCATATTATATGAACTCGTATAAGGCAAACAGGTGACTCCTGAGTGAGTGAGGGAGCGAGGGAGTGGGTGGGTGAGTGGGTGAGTGAGTGCATGCGGGCGTGGGTACATACATGCGTGCGGGTGGGTGGGCGGGTGGGAGAGTGAGTGGGTGCGAGGTTCCTGCTGGCGTTCTCGAGTGCCGGGAACAATGCGTCGGTGAACTTGGGGCTGCAGCACCGGAGGGGTATGGTGCTGCCGTATGCGGTCGACAGCTGCAGCGGGGACACCGCTGTGTTCCACGTGGCCCCGCTGGACGGCTGCAGCAGCCTCCGTGCCCCCACTTCAGATTTCAAAACGCAGAACCGGGAGACCGGGCAGACGCCCGAGGGCATGTCGTGGCCCAAGTGGGTGGAGGATACTTGCTCTCGACTTCTGGAGCGGCGGGTGGTGCCGTGCATATCATTGGCCACGGTGATTGGTGAGTGGCTGGGCGGCCGTCACATCGCGCGCATCAAGGTGGATGCACAGGGCAGCGACCTGGACGTGATCAAGTCCGCAGGAACTTTCATGAACCGGTTACGATATGTCTCTTTGGAGGTCCAGTCTCGGCTGGCTGCGCCACTGTACCACGGCCAGGCCTCCTGCGAGCAGGTGTTGCAGACCATGCGGCACCTGGGCTTCCAGGTGGCAGACACCCGGAAGCTGGGCGCGGCATGCAACATGAGCGTGCCAGAGCTGGATTTGGACTTTGTGCGCCGGGAGGTGGCATTTCTGTGGCGCTCCTTCCACCGAGAGTACGCCTACTGCCGTGTCTTCTCGGCTTCTGGCGCTTGTGGAGGCCCGCACTGCCTGGCGCCTCAGATCCCCGCACAGGTGAACCGGACCACGTGCGACAGCGTGCAGGACGAGCTGCTCTTTGAGCCGGTGGTTGGCATGGCCCTCATTGCGATTGCCCCGGAGTGCACGGGAAACGTGCAAGTGGAGCGCAGTGAAGGCTTGGGTCTCGTGGTGCGCCTGCACCAGGGCGGCTTGAGAAAGCGGACTTGCCCGGTGAGGTCCAGTTTCATTCCTTCTTTGCACGGTCCCATGGTGCGAATTCAGGTTGGGAGGGGCGGCGCCTTGCATGGACGTCTGGTCATCCTGCCAGGCATCGTGAGCCCTGCAGTGCCCTTGTCCAACGCCAGTATGGCATTGACCCACTTCATGGATGCCACCAGCGACATCGATGTGGAGCTGCTCTGGCCAGAGCCCTGCAGTGCCCTGCGGAGCGAGTTTCGGCAACAGCTGACTTCGCAGTATGCCATGGAGACGCCCTTGGAGAATTTCTGCGCTTTTGCCAAGTGAAGAGCCTCTGGCGTGGCAAGACCTCGGCATGTGGAGGACTCCTTCAAACCCCAGGTGTTCCAGAACCATTGCGCGCGATCTCGGTCTTGGCGCCGGCCCTACGCTGAAGCTTCAGAACGTGCGCCGCATGTTGCTCAACATTGGCCAGACACCCAGCGTGCGACGCGGGAGAAGGATAAATGCAAAGGCAATTGCAAAAAATCTGCGCCAGACAGTGCAGGCAAAGATAAAGGGAACATATGGGGACCTCACTCAGACTTGACATTCAGAAGCCTTGGATGCCAGCTTGCCCGTGAGGATATGGCTCAAGCCAACCCCAAGCCCTAAGACCGCAAGATGCAAATGCTGCTCGCCTGTATGCAAGCCCAGTTGGCGGTGAAGGAAGGGGTATGCCACTCTACCCCGGCCAATGGTGAGGTTTAAAGGCTAACCTGCGCAAGGTTTGGCCCCAATATGCCTGTAGAATTTTCTGGCAGACCTCAAATTGAAGGTTCACGCAGGTTTGCAGAGCAATGCCAAGACGAGGCAGCCAAAGGGTTCAGCATTGAAGTCCTTCAGAACTTGAGGCCGCGTGTGCCCAGTTCTGGCTACTGGGCGTCTGCAGCCTGGGACCCAGACTGCCGGGTCTACGCTGGTGCTGAGATCTTTCAGACCCACAACTTAGCAGAGCAACAGGATCAGCAAAAGCAGGAGTGGCCGAAGCAGCAGAAGCAGCAGAAGCAGCAGGACCAGCAGGACCAGCAGGCAGAGCACGCACCAATGAGGCGAGTGAGGAAGTTGGGGACTCTCTGGTATTTGTTTGTTTGTTTGTTTGTTTGTTTGTTTGGTTCCCCTTCCTTGTTTCCTTTCAACCTTCCTCAAAGAGGGGTTGTACACTTTTCACTACAGACCACCCCACCTCCGGCCCCTCTTCTGTTTAGTGGAAACTCACCCCATGGATCGCCCAAGCAAAAGGCTTTCATAGGGTCAGGTTTGTTTAGGGGAACAACCCCATACGAAGGTCTTGCCAAAGGATTGCTTGGATGATGGGGGCATACTTCTTGGCCCATGGGGCGCGCATAAAATAATATGTTCGGATTCTGATTCGTATTGAAGGCGGACGCCTCGTTGTATGCGGTTCAAGCCCTAAAATGCAGTTCTTTTCCTCAGGCGTGGTGGCAGCGCATCCTACTGGGGCGCAATGGTGGATGTGCTCCCAGCCGAGGTCCACTTTGGCGACCACATGGCGGGCGAAAGAAATGCGCCCGGCCAAGCTCCAGAGGAATCCATGTCGCTCAGGCTGCGGAGCAGCTCGGATTACTGGACCTCAGGAAATTGGAATCTGGAGCTGCAGATGGGCAAGGAGCATACAGACACCCCGTCGACTAGCTGCACAAGTGAGTCTACCAAGTGCATGACTCGCCATGACAGCAACGCATATTGGGATGCCAACCAGTGGGATCCGGATGAGCGGGTGTATGTGGGCGCCGCGGCAGGGCAGACCAACCACCTGGTGGCGGTGATCCATGGCGACGACAAGCTGCTCCGCGCATGGGCTGGGGGCCTGACCTGCGAGTCGGGAACATGTGGACGTGGGCCGCGGGACATCAGCAGCTTGGGGCCTTCCGAGCACTCGGAGCCCGAGCTGCAAGACCTCTATGAGGTGGAGTCCGACTCTGTCGGCTTCGGCAGCTTCGGGGTCGTGAGGCTGGCGCGCCACCGGCAGAGCCAGACCCGGTGCGTGGTGAAGAGCCTCAACAAGTCCCAGACAGGGCCCTCGTACAAGGCCCAGGTGGATGGTGGCCTGTATGAGCGGCTGCTGGGAATGTCTTCTACGCCGCATGAAGGCATCGTCAAGTATTTGGACATGCTGGAGAGCAAGGATCATTACTATGTGGTCATGGAGAGCCTCCACGGCCCTGAGCTCTTGGACGAAATGGAGAGTCTCTGTCCTGTGACAGAGGCCCACTGCCAGCAAGTGATGCGCGAGGTCTTGTCTGCTCTGGCCCATATCCATGACACTGTTGGAATCTGCCACCGGGACATCAAGTTGGCAGCTTGCCTCGATAGCACATTTTATTGCCGGCAGGCTTTAAACAAATGAGGTGTTGAAAGCGTGTTTTCGGAAAGCCCTGTATTCGGGGCTGAGGACAACTTCCGGTACCGGAGTCCAGGACAAGGCGCCCAACTTGTGCTTTTAGACTTTGGCTTCCTTGCTGACTTGGACACTCCATGGGACGGCAAGAAGTGCGGGACACGCCGCTTTGCCTGGAGGAAGGTTCGCGGGATGCAGAGATGGGAGTGCATGATGCGTGCACAAATGCCAGCACTATCAAGGAAATTTCTTCAGGCACATCCCAACAAGGTACCCGGTTTCGCACCAATAGGAGTGCTTGGGGGGAGCTCGAGAGGCTTGTAAGTGAGAGTGCTTGCCCGGAAAGAAACTGTGTGAAGTTCTCTTTTGCGGATCGTTCTGCATGCCCAGGTATGTACATGGCTCCGGAAGTACTGGCAGAGACAGCACAGCAACCACACCTTGCTGCCATTGACATGTGGGCAGCCGGAGTGCTCCTGCATCTTGTGCTCTTGATTGAGCGCGGATTGATTTGGTCATCTGACGGCAGGGTTCATTGAAGAAGATAGCTTGGCTTCTACCCTTCAAGCCCTCTTGCAGCACCGCCACGTGCAGCCATCGAACAGCAACAAGGCAAAGCCGCGACCAAACTGTGCAGTCCTTCACAATCCCAGGTATTTGCTTCTGACGGGCGACGGCCCAGTCCAGCCGGAGCAGCTACAGATCTTGGCAAAGTTAGACCAGGATGCGAAGAACATCATTGCAGAGGCAGACCGCTGGAGAACAGTTCTCAGGTTGAATTTTGCCCTGACACAGTCAGTTTCAGAGACAAATCAGCACCTCTGGTTTTCCCTGCCCCAATCACTGCAATCCAAGCCTTGCCTCCGCAGTTTCTTCCAATGGGGGGCAATTGGGCCAGGCTTTGGAGGCAGAGCAAGTGAGATCTGCGTCGAAGGAGGCGGGGGACTTTGATTCACCATATGAGTGCAGAACACGTCAATGTTTGGATTTTTGGCTGGCCCAGGCGGCAGATCTCCTGCGGAAGCTTTTGGACTTGAAGGCTTGCGCCAGGGCGACGAAACACCTTAGCTGTTCCACGCCAGGCGAGCAGCCGCATTCGAGCCGCTGACGCGCTCAAGCATCCATGGACCCGCGAATTTGCCGAGAGTGAGTTAGGGTTAGGTTGCCTAGTTGCCTTTTGCTCGGGCATGTGCTGCATTGCAGCCTTCTGCAAAGAAACAAAACGGGGGCTTAAGGACCTTAGGGCGGACTTGTTGCGTTGCCGCCAGGATGTCCCTGTCTTTGGACGGGGCTTCTCGGGTTGGACCAGCCAAGAGGGACTCCTACAGAACAGCCACCAGGAGCGCCCAGGAGGTGCCAGTTGGTGTCGGCTTCACCTGGTCCCATTTGGGTGTGTGTTTTTTTAGGGTACCCTTTTTGGGGTGGTTTCTTGGGAAATGATTGTTGTTGTGCTCAAGCTGTCACAGTCCGCAGGGTTTGGGAAAGGGTGGGAATGAGTGGGGGGTGGGAACGAGTGAGACATGGACTTGAGCCACTGTGCAGGTGACTCTTGTCGAGTGAAGCCTTGCCTGGAACTAGTTTTAATCCAGAGAACAGTCGAACATAGATAGGTACAGATCCTTGCAGCTTTGCCGACATTCAATCAGATGACACTACGTCGTTGCTTATCTTATTGCCGACAACGCAACTCACTCAACGGTTGCACTCATCTGCTTGATGGCGCCTGCAGGGAGCCTCAAATATGTGGCGGTGCCAAATTCAGCCAGATGCAGAGTATCGGCCTCCCATCGGGCTTTGTACTTGGTGCGGATTTCTGGGCGCGCCATGTAGTGTTCGGGCTTATGCCTCAGTCTGGTTTTCGCCACTCCTGTGCAGTGCACTCCCCGCAACGTTGCCGAAGTAGTCTTCCTGTCCAAAGTTGCGGGTGAGCGGAACAGTTGCATTTGTGTGAATGGCATACCTTTTCTTGTTTAGTTCCAGCAAGGTACAAAGCACCCCTTGCTTGCACAGTGCCTCTGAAGGGAGGTGCCTGACTTTCTCTGGCGATCGCTTGAAAAGGACTGGGAGCAGTTGAACAGGACACTAGTTTCGAGATGGGCTGTTCAGACGCCAGGCGTACCAATTAGAAGTTTAGAGGCTTGCCGAGTTGCCGCTACTCAAGCGCCTCCAGCTGCAGGCCTCACAAGTGGTAGACGCTTTTGCTTCGCTTTTTGCCGCCCCGGCTTACAGTGGGTGTGCCCCACCAGGTTGTTCCATTGGCCAAGGCCGGGACTTTGCCGTGTCACCAGCTTTGATGCAACGAGGGGAAACAACGGAAACAACCAAGAAGCACGGCCTGCCGATGACAGCCCGATGGCTTAGGTGGGGCCATGGGCAAGAGAGGCCGGCCGAAACCCAGCACTCAGCTTGCCACCTTGCATCGCGCCTCGCTGCTTTGTTCTGGCAGAGGGCTCCCTCCAAGGTACGGGCCAGCAATCGATGTTCTTTGGTTCCCAGAGAAACCATCCCAAACACGGATTTCCAACGTGCCCCGAATGCAGCAAGCTCTGAGATATTGATGACGACGACGATGATAGAGGCTGGCTGCTGGACTAAGTTTCAGCACTTGGGGCGGCAGGGCCTTGGCAGTTGGGCATGCTAGGCAAAAGGTCGAGATTCAGCGGATTCGGCGGCTTCTCCAACAGCCCGCTGCTCAACTGTCCGTTCAGACGCTGCCTGGCTGAAACCGTTTTCAGGTGCTCCGCCTGACGATGGCCAGCCTGCGGAGATCCAGAAATGGCACTCAGCATTTCACCTATCCAGATGTGAACGTTCCACATGCAGTGCCCAAGGCTCGATCAGATGCTGGCAGGGTCCGGAAACTCAGGAACATCTTTGTTGTGGTGACGTTTGCTGCGTTTGCTGCGCATTTGCTGCTGCTGCTGCTGCTGCTGCTGCTGCTGCTGCTGCTGCTGCTGCTGCTGCTGCTGCTGCTGCTGCTGCCCTTCGGCGTCAGAGGCTGGTGACGTGTCATGTATGCTGGCCAGCTGCGGCTTCTTGAGCAACCGTAACTGTCTTTGCCAGGGCCAAGGCAATTTTACACGGCACTGGCCGGTTCCAAGCCTGGGCAAGGTCATCACACAAGCCCTGGCAAACTTACACCTGCGCTAGACACTGGGTCTGAGTTGAGTTGCAGTTGAAGCCCTCTCGCGTTTTGTAGTCTCATAGGCTTGTGTGGTTTGTGAAAAGCTGTGCTTGTTCTCACCATAGCTGGCTGTTGTTGCTGTCATTTGCTTTGACGTCGCCCTCGCATTGAGCGGTTGTGAGGCGTGTTTGGTTGGCCGAGTCAGCGTCACCAGGTTCATGCCAGCGGGGGGCGCAGCAGCACCCGGCTTCGGCTCGCGACCTGGTTGGGCTTGGGACGAAGGGCAGCTCTGAGTTTGGCAAGCTTTGCGTGCCACGCGCCCAAGTAGACAGAGAAGCTGCTTGGCTGAGGCACAAATATAGGTCCAATCCCGGACTGCTGTTTGGGGCATCGGTTCTGCGGCTGGGATTTGGCAGATTTTGCATGTTAAGTGTGCGGCCATGCCTGCAGGACATCGATCCCTTGAAACCAGCCACCACCCCGATGGATTTCTCAAGGCTCGGGAACAGCCTGCCCAGCGCCGGACTCAGACGACAAGCCAGGCACGTGGGAGCTTGCATTGGCTGAGGTGAGGAATTTCCGGTGCCGAGGGACATGGTTGCTGCTCGCCTGAATGCATGCGGGGCGGTGACTTTCCTGAATCGTCATGCAACATATGGAGATTGAAGGCATTGGCGCATAGTGGTGCAGAGCCCTGAGCAGACAGCCGGCGCAGGAGTACCTGATGACGCCGGAGAATAGACAAATCATTCTGGAGGAAGCCTTCACTGCAGGCACAGGCAGTGTCTGAAATACCGCAACCGCCTTGAGGAGACCGGCTGTGATGTAGACTGGGCGCCGGATGAGTCGAAGGCTGGCCTTGAGACATGGAGGGTCGCCACGCGAAGCCCGGGGCTTCGGCTTTCAGAAATACCGGGTTGGCATGTGGGATCAAGGTATCGGCCCCGAGCCAAGAGTTGCAAGCAGAATGTCAGTTTGACTGGCAGATGGCATGCACAAGCACAAGGGAGACCAAGGGAGCCAGAGTTGAGCCGAGCCATGTGAGATTTGATGCTGCGGTGCTTTTGCAGCTTGCGACATGGCAGATGTTGGGAAGCATTGCCAGGAAGGCATAAAGAAATACGGGCGTACATTCCAACTGCATAGCATGGCACAACACTGTGTCAGATATGGAGCCTACCCTTCCACACCATGCCATGCCCGCATTTGTCATGTGGCCTGGTGAGGTTCTGCCTGTCTCTGACCCGGTCACATCAGACTCCAGATGACCTGACGCAAGAAGTGCAGCTGGCAAAGGAGGACGCCACTTCGGCAGTTTTAGACAAATCCTTGCATTCTGGAGCCTCTCCACTGCGTGGAGAGTTGGGTTGGGAGGAGAGAGGGCGGCGTCGGCTTGACACGGCACTCAGTTTTGCCGAGGTGTGTCAGCCATGGGCGCTGCAGCGCGACGCCTGGCGCCGGAACTGGGCTGCCCAGCCGCCCGACGCGAGACGCGCGCACCTCCTGGACAGTGCGCCGAACCTGCCCAAGGCCGGTGGGCCTAAGTTAAGTTGGCCATGGCTAGGAACGGGTGGGCGGGTGGGCAGGGAAAGGATACTGTGATAACTTAGTAATAGCTCTTCTTGAGTGTGTTGTTTATTATTTGCCTTGACCGCGGTTCCTAAGGGGAGGACTGCGACCTTGCCGTGTTGAGCAATGACACGTGTTTGTTGGCGAACAATCCCGTCTTGCACCAGTCAAGATTGCTGCAAACCTGCAAACCCTCCTCACAGGCTCGAGGCGTTCCGCGCCTTGACTGCACCAAGGGACCCCACAGAGAGATTCTGCGTGGCAAACCCCAGGCGCACGGCCAGTGGTGAGGACGTTGAAGGCTTTGCAGAGCTGTGTCCTGAGTTGAACCTTGAAGAGCTCTCTTCAAACGCAAATGTGTCATGGCAGCACTGGCCTTGCAATCAGATTGGTTTTGCGGCAACTTGCACCGACATGTCCAGCGTTGCCGAGGGCAGTTTGCTCGTTGTGTTGAGCTGAGTTGCTCGATCCAAGACACCCAAGGTGCTTCTGAATCTGTTGGATGAGTAGCTTGGCTGACAAGATGACCGCGTCACTCCCGCATCGCTGCTTTTTTGCTTGGACTTGCGGATTGCTTGTGTGCAGGCGTTGCGCTTCAGAGATGGCTTCGCAAAGGCGGATCCAAGATGCAGATCTTGCGCCTCCTGGTGTGCTCTAACCTCAAAGGATGCAAAAGAACTGCCAGCTGAAATGGCCCTCGAGGAAAATGTCTTTGCCGGGACCCTCTTTCATGAGCTCTTGGCCTTCTACAAGCCTAGGAACTGTTCGGGGCTGCCATGAGGTTAAAGAGCGATCCAAGGCTGGCCCGCCAGCTTGCAGACGGTGGGAAGATTGGCAGACGAATTGCCTCCCGGAAGCTGTTCTATTTGAGGGCAGCTCGACAGAAAGCTCCCAGTGCAGTTTGCGGTCCGGAGCTGCATGTAATGTCGCTGCACAGCCACTTGTTAGTTGGCGCCTCGGAATGGGGCTGCATCACTTGCAAATCAAACATGCAACAGTCAGGAAGATGGCAAGGGCCTGGATTGGTTGATAACCTGACAGGACATGCTCGCACTGCAGAAGTGTCGGCAGGGCTAGTTAGGCAAAGTAGCCAAATTGCACTTGGCAGATCAGTGGAACTGTGAAATATTCAGAGCAGCGCGTTCCTGAGGATCCAATCACCACTGCGGTAACAGGACCTTTGCCAGCGCAAAAGGACACAGGATCCGCCTGGAAATCTGGGGCATCTGACTTAGTCATGGAGTCTGAGATCTGGTGGACGGTGCTGTTCCGCCAGCAATCCATTTTCTTGACACTCGCCAGCCTCAAGGACTGAAATTGAGCCTGAGGGAAATCCTTGCGTGAAACCTTTGGGGGCAGGGAAGGGTTCGCGAGGACCACCTGAGTGACGGAGCCGGCGAAGGTGAAGGAGATGGAGAGGAAGAGGGCGATGGCACATTTGCATAAATTATGCCATTCTCCTGGGGCAGATGGTCATGGCATGTTTGCGGGAAGCAATGGCCTGAGCTGTACGGGTCGGCTGGTCGGCTTGAGCCCAGGCATCTTGTCCACGGCACTCTGGTGTAGCGGCATCCTGTTGCCGCTGCTGCTGTGCGCCTCCCGAAGATTTCTCCGCGGGCGCGAGGACTGCCCCCCCGACCTGTGCTGCCCGATGTCCCTGGAGCTGTTTAGAGATCCAGTGGTGGCCGCTGACGGTGAGACCTACGAGCCCCCTGCCCTGAGTTAAGGTTGAGAAACCGCCTGTGTGACCAAAGCATCGTTTAAGTTTAGGTGAACACATGGCTAGCCGAAAGAGGACTGGCACACGTTTTGACAATGCTTAGGCGCTGGTGGATCGAAAAGTGGATCCGCGAAAAGCAGCCAAAAGAGAGCCGGGCCCGACATGGGACTGGCGTGCTGTCGCCAATGGGCCATGGCATGCTCAGCCACACCAGGCTGGTCAGCAACCAGGCTGTGCGGCGACTTGCCAACCAGTGGCGTGAGACGCACGTGAAGAGCACGTGAGAAGGGCACGAAGAGCCTGATAGGCTAAGGATACTTCCATGCGTGGCAGAAGCGCCGCACTGTCCTCGCCGCTGGAGCCATCCGAGAGACATGCTGCAGGGATGCCGCAGAGCAACACTTGTCCGCAAAGACGACCCAGCTTGCATGGGAAACATGTTGCTTGTGCAGCTTGACACTTTGCCACTTCTTATTGAGCAGGATTCATGCCTGACCGCCGTGATAATCGAAGACCTTGGCAGGCATGCGCGATATCTGGTAAAAGCACTCATCCTGACGCAGCCTCAAAACAGGAACAAAGAGAAAGCTCAAAAGCAAGAGTGGGAGACGGAGGGAGAGAGCGAGAGGTAGTATAGCTAGCTATCTAGATACCTAGCTATCTAGCTATCTATCTATCTATTTATCTATTTGTAAGGAAGCGAGGCTGCTGCTGTAGGGGCGAGCCAGGAGATGCCCCAGCAAAAACAACTCTATTCCTCTATCTTTCTATCTATCTAATCCAATGTAATCTAATCTATCGATGAATCTATGTCTCTCTCTCTCTCTATCCATTGGTTTGTTTGTTTGTCTATCAATTCTGCATCCATCCATCTATCCGATCATATTGCATCGCATCATATCATATTGCATCATATCATGTCATACCATGATAGAACATAACATGTCAGATCAATCGATCTGCCTAATCGAATCTAGTCCAATGTAATCTAGCCTCTTCTATGCTATTCTATTCCATTGCATATTCTATTCCATTGCATTCCGTTCTATTCGGTATCTATTTGCCTTTCTGCCTGTCTGTCTATCTATTTGTCTGTGTATCTATCTAGCTGTCTACCTATCCGTATATGTGTATATTGCCAGTTGCCTATATGGGGGTATGCATGTATATTGGTCTATCTATATACGCTTGTTTGTATGTCTATAAAAAGCAGTGATATGGGGGGAGTCTCATTGAAGGAGTGAAGAATCACAGCCCCGACTTGGATTGCACACACTCCAGCATTCAGCGACGTCAGGGGCGCGCATTCACGCGTAGACCTGGTACCCACATCGCCCACGTGTCCAGCAATGCATGGCCGTGCCGGCCGGGCAGGGCCAATGGATGCACAGCGCCGTGGGCTTCGGCGGCTACCCAGTGCCATGGCCGAACTCGGCATGGCCTTGGCATCTTGCCACGATCGGCAAAAGTGGTGGTAGATAGAAAGGGTTGCTTTGGCGTTCACCAGCTTCGTGCTTGGAGTTTGTTAGCTTCGGAAAACATGGCCAGCGCCACAGCCACGGAAGCTGATCTGCAGGAGTTCCAGGCACGTCGCCTCCAGTACGACAGAGAAGAGGCTGAGCCAGCCGAAGAGGCGGCAAAGACACGGGAGGAGCTGCAGAAGCAGCTGGGCAACGTGAGGCGGGCCTTCGCCACCACCTTCGCCATCACGAGGGTTTGTCCCCAATTGGGGCAACCTCTGGGTAGTTCCTGTTCGGGCGGCTTTGAAACAACTCAAGAAGTCTGCCCTAGAAAAAGATGCCCATGTGTGCCCGTATCAGACCACCCAGTTCAAGCACTGTTCTCCGATGTCAGGACTATTTTAGAGTTGTAACGAACAAAGTTGCTCGTGTCGGCTTTTGGCCGCGCCTCGGAACGGCTCTCAGGCTGCTCCACCAGGTGATGCTGCATCTCCACCGAGGAGACTTCAAAATAGTCACAACTTCAGAGCGGTCACCCCAGCCTTCGCAGCCCGCCCGGTCCGTGCCCAAAATTAGCTGGGCCCAGCTGCGGCAAAGACTGCAGGCAGGCTGCTCAGGTCCAGTATCTTCTTTTGTCCTTTGCCCTTTGCCCAGTTGCATGTTTGCGGGGTGAGCAGCTTTGCCGGCTTGGCCGTGTGCATCACGCACATCCACGTGTGCGCAGGCTGGAGGATGGCAGGGCCTCTCAGAACCGGTGGTCTTCGATATCCCACCTGACTTTGCCCAGCCCTACAGCTCGCGAGATGCTTTGTTGCAGGATGCCATAGCCTTAGGTCTGCGTGGCCGGGCAGGGGGGTCTCATGATAGAATGCCCGCCGGACTGAACATCTGGAGATAAATTACTGGTAGAATCGTCAGAGCGGCATCTTAATTGTTTGACATGCGCGTTCAAGCATATTAGTTCTGCGCAGCTAAGGCTTGCAACTCAGCACGTTTTCAGACGGCCACAGTGCTAAGCGACCCGCTGGCCGCCCAATTCGGGCCTTCCATGTTGGGTGACGAGCGCTCTTTCCAGGAGGCTTGCAAGGGCAACTGTTTCAGTCAGCTGGGCGCCAAAGACCTGGTGTCAGGCAGTGTTCCCTGGCAGTGTTGGCGCTCTATCCCTGAGTGGATGCGCTGCTCCATGGTGGTGGTGTCAACTGGCCCCGGTGGCAACGGCGTGGCCTTCCATAAGCACGGCACTGCCTGGCTGGGCCTTTTCCAGGGCGTGAAGCGCTGGTGGCTCTACCCGCCCCAAGGCCCGCCCAAACCCGCCTACGAGGCCGTAGCCCTCGCCGCCGCCCGGGACCTGCCGGAGGCGTGCGCGGGGCTGCGCCCCGAGCACAGGCCCCTGGAGATCCGCCAAGCGGCGGGCGACTGCGTCTTTGTGCCGGCGCTGTGGTGGCATGCGACCTTGGATGAAGAGCCTACCCTGGGCATTGGATCACAATTCAGCATGGCGGAGATCAATATCCTGCAGTGCCAAGAGCAGCATCCGCACAGTGGCTTTGCACTCTACCATGCAGCGTGCGAGGTCCATAAAACGGAGGAAGAAAAGGCGATTGCGCTCTTCGAAGCGGCAATTCAACGTGAGCCTTTGAACTTCTACTTCGCCACGAACCAGGTACTCTTTTACTTGAACATGGTCTTTCACCCGAAGCTTACCATCTCAATCATCACTCGTCTCATGGGCAAAATTGAGCGCCTGGACCCTCAGAGGCAGATGATTGTGCAGCGGTTTTTCATTCCGACGGTCTGCAATTTTGTGGAGTGGCACTCACCCCACGACCGGCTCCTGAAGTACTCAGTCCAGGCGGCCCAAGTTGCCAGTGAGGCATTGGTGGGCCTTTTGCAACCTATGCTGCCGGGTGGTCAAAGTTTCCGCCTTGGCAGCAGCCTGCCCTGGGACTTGCTGGGTTTCCTGGAGTACCGGTCCCAGTGCTTCCACTGCAAATGCATGGCCATGGGCAAGGCGGGGGACCCGGGCAGCGTCCGCGCCCACCGCTTCTTCTGCTTCCGCTGCGTACGTCTGCGCGACGAGGCGCGGTGTTTCTGCGGCCAGCGAGGCGCCGGGCAGCTGGGGATGGACGAGGAGGGCCCCAGATGGTTCTGCCCCTCCTGCTGGAAGAGGGCACAGATAGAGACGCCAAAAAGGCAAATAGAGGAAAAGGAAGCCAAAGCGGCTGAGAAGGCGAGCACCGTGCCTGTTCAGAAAGATGTGAAGAGGCTTCAAGTGCTGAAATGGGACATAGTGGATTAGAAAAGAAAAGGCTTTGCCTGGCAAAAAAGTGCGCTCAGTGAAATGTGTGCCAATGCTTCTGTCCGGCTAGATCAGGTCAGTTGTGCTTGCCGCTGCTTGCCAGGTTCACTTGAAGGGCTCCGCCGAGCAGATCCGCAAGGAGCGAGTGCCGCGTTTGGTCGGGGTCCGCCGTAGCTCGCGTAGCTCAGGCTCAGAGGCTTCTCCAGAGAGTGCTGATGCACTGCGCAGGGCTCTGTACGTTTCAGCTTAATCAAAGGTCTATGATGGACTCCCTAGGTTCCCCCAAAAATCAGGGGACTCACTAATTACTAATTGCCATGTCCCTTTAGGAGGAATCAAGTAATGTTGCCCCCATGTAGCAGCACCTGTCCCTTGTGTCATGGGCTCTGAGGCAACTGGGGCCGTAGTGAGAACAAGGTTCGGCGACTGCTGAAGCCACCGCTCAGAACTCAGCACGTGCTGAGGCAGCTTCTTGAGGATGCGAGACAGCAAGCCAAGGATTATAGAGTCGGCCGTGGTTCGGATGTCGCCAATGAACACACTTCCACCTGGCCAGAAGACCTTGAGTCAGACGCAGCCTAGACCTCAGCCACGCAGCTTGCTTCCGGGCAGTGGATGCTGATGTGCCCAACAAGGCCGGTTCTTGTCATCGGCGGATGGCTCAGAGGAAAGAGTCCAAACTGGCAACAGCTGCACTGCGTATCCCAATTCAGGAAAGGACAAAGCCAGCGACATTGCCATCCCGGCCGCAATCGTGTCCAGACAAGTACGGCTGGCCTGTCGCATGAACACTCTCCCCGCTACAATTGCACGCACGGGGCAGCTCCACAAGTCTCCAGTTTGAATCCCGTCCTTCTGCCATTTGCAATGCAAGTTGAAATGCACGGTGAACACACCGCTTGAGATGGCAAGGCGTGCAGGCCTAGGCCTGGACATGCCATGACATCACGCCCCTGAGCCAACACCGTCCAGTCTTTCTGGCTAAGCCCAAAAGCTTGAGTTGTTCAGCCAACCTGGCCAAGCCCGAAAGCGCACTTTCAACCAAGCCTCCTAGCCCCAGGCCCAAGCCTTACCTTGCACCATTGACATGCAGACAATCCGACTAGACTACACCGAACGGCTTCATTGCAGGTTGACGAATTGTTTTCAATGACGCCCAGGTGACATACAAGAAATGCAGGCGTATGACAGCTCCAAAATCCACTTCAAGTCAAAAGCATGTGGGGAACAGAATTGTGGAAGCCTGGTGCCAAGTTGATAGGCACATGAAGCATCAGCTGTTGCATCCTTCTCACTGGCATCAAATGCAACTCTTGACACGGCGGGCGAGCGCATGTTCGCTAATGTGCATGTGGGAGCGGCAAGTAATTTGCGGCACTTGAGGTAGTGCCGCTTCAATTGGTCAGCAGCGCGCGCTGTTTTGTCCATATTCGGCGCTGCCAGCACTGCGCGCTCGAGCTGGACATGGAGCGTGGAGCTGTGTATGCCTGGGCCTTGGGCGAGGGGCCAGTTGCAGAAAGGACTGCTAGGGTCAAGTGTGACTTGCCTGCTTGATTTGGTTATGTCAATGTGCTTCCCTGGTGGCACTTGTTTGCCAATTTAGGCTCGAGCCTCTTGTGGGCTGCCATGAGGCCGTGACATGCCTCGATGTTCTCCGGCCTGAGGAGGAGACCAGCCCATGCTGAAGGGCCGAGTCGCAACGTCCCAAATGCCGCCGCAAATGTTCCTGCGGAGCTACCGGCCCTGAGCATTTGCAGACTCGAGGCCCCAGAGGAGCTGATGAAAAAGCTCCGGCAACATGCTGATGACCCAGCCCTTTCCGAATTTACCTGCCCCATTTGCTGGGACCCGTTCTGGCAGCCTGTGCGCACAGTGTGCGGACATGCATTTTGTGAAGGGTGCCTGCTGAAATCAGTGTTGGCACAACTGGGGCAGGAGCAGCCCGATGTCTCCTGCCCACTGTGCAGGCATCCCTTGCATGTGGAAGATGTGGCGGCAGATGAGGCCCTGTTGACCCGCATCAGGCTCGTCATTTCCCAGAAGAGCCGAGATGGCCGAGATTCGGAGACGCCAAGCGCCAGAGCTGGGCGTATCTACCGGGGAATGGCGCGGTCGCCGGCAACGGCTGACCCATCGGCGATCCGGGCCTTGCGCTGCACCGGGCAGCCTTGCACCCCGGTGCCAGACGCGCCGCGAGCCAAAAGCGGGCCGCGGAATCTCAGCAGCTGGATGCGAGTGGCGCCGCCAGAGGAAGCGCGTCCTGCCACCTCGGGCGGCCGCACGACGCGGGCCCCGGCCGTCTCCCCAGCGCGGCCGTCCACTTCGGGGACCTGGGCACCGCGGAGCTTGCCTGAGGACGAAGAGTTTGGAGGTCGCTGCGAGAGCCGTGCGCCATGCGTGCCCATGCCCTGTGTGCACGAGAGGGACGCCGGACGAGTGCTGGCACCCCCACGGCCAAGGGTGGTTAGACCGCAGAGCAAAGGTAGCTGGGTCGATAGCGAGCAGTTCACAAGGCCCGGAGAGTCGAGTCAAAAAAAGGACAGAACCATGCTTTGCAGCATCCCCAGCATTGCATTCTTGCAGGAGGGGCAGAAGGCCACTGATCTCGCAGGCAAAGAATACCACTTCCCCATGGCCTTTGTCTGCACGCCTAGGAGTCGCCCGGCAGCATCTTAATGTGCCCTGAGCTGCTTTTCCAACCAGCATGTTGTGGCGGCATGCATTTACATTCATGGAGTAAGGACCCTGCGCTTCGTGCTGTGTGACACGGAGACATGCCCTGCAGGGGAGGAAGCTAACTTGGTTTCATGCGCGTCTACCTGTAATATGCGGGTTAGTTAGTAGGAGCAGCGAGCGTGGGAGCCCACCCTGAAAACTTCATCAGATGCTAGGTGTCCTCGTCAAAACTGCTTGTGCAATTCCAAAGCAAATGTGGCCCCATCTCGCATCTCAGCTGGGACACTGGCAGGCTTCTTTGGTTCCTGCTGCCTCCATGCAGCCCCAGCTCATGAGTCGAACCTTGTGAAGGGTTTAAAGAATCAACAGACAGGAAGCCTGCTGATCCAGCCGCCTGCTTGCCGTGATCCTCCCAAAAGGAAGGCTCGCACCGCAATTTCGGAGAAAGACGGCGCCTGCACCCCAACGGTTTGGCAAGATGGCGTGGCCGACGTTTGTTTGGCCACATGCGCTTGTTGCCCAACTCTGTCTGCAAACGCCTCAGGTCATAGATTGCAGCACCAACGGCACCTTCTTGAACGGCCTCAGGCTTCCGCCGAAGTCCAGCGGAAAGGCCGATCTTGTCTTGTGAGCAAAACAGCCGCATCTTGCGGTGAGACAGACAACTACAGGGCCAAACCAAATGCAGCCGCAGCATTGCGGTATCCGTGTACTTCAGGTGCTGGTGTCACATGGTGATGAGCTTTTGCTACAAGACCCTGCGAACGGAGACCAGGAGTCCTTGCCTTAAAGGCTTACTGAAGTTTTGCTGTCGAAATTCAGATGCATTCAGCAGCTAGGCGCCTTGCAAAGATTCCCCTCGAGGTTTGGTTATGTGGTCAACATACAGGAGCTGAATGTCAGGGAGCGTGCCAAGCTCCAGGCAAGCCCCCTGATGTTTCAACTCACGAGCGCACAGCCGCTGGTTAGGGTTGTTGGGCGAGCTTGCGGGCCAGGCCCCGCGACGGCTGCTCACCACTGAAGAGCCGGGTCCCCACTTGATGCGATTCGACAAGATAACATGTTGCAAGCTGCAGGTTCTGGTCTCTCAGGTCTGCCACCATGGGGCGAGACTTCCAGTGAGAGCGTGCAATGCTGGGATGGTGCAACGAGCAGTCGCAGCATAAAAGCAGA